CTGGGGAGCTGAGCGAGAATCATTGGTGGAGCATAACTTGGGAACCCCAAAAGAAAAGAAAAACTGCTGAAAATACCAAGAAAAGAGAAAGAGCCTAGTATACATAGTTTGTGTGCAAATTCTCTCCCCTTTTCTGGATGGCGGGAGGGTGTTTGGGGCCACAGCCGGTGAGTTGAGGGTTACTCCTGGCTCTGCACTGCACGCAGGGAGTATTCCTGGTGATCTTAGGGGACCATACGGGATGCTGAGGTGAGAACCTGGGCCGGCCACATGCAGGGCAAGAACCTTAACCACCGTACTATCACACTGGTTTCTCTTTTTTTTTCCATGAATTTCTTTTTTGTTGTTTTTGGTTTTTGTTTGGGGGCCAAGACTGGCAATGCTCAGGGATGCATCCCTCCAGGTGGTGCTCAAGGGAGCACAGGCGGTGCCAAGGATGGAGCCAGGTCACCCAGTGTGCGGCAAATGCCTTCCCTGCTGCAGTATCTCATGTTCTACCTGGTCCCAAGGTCTGTTTCTTTAATTTCCCTTTGGGTGAGAGGGTGAGCGAATGAACACACCTATAAATAGCGCCCGGCCGAAAGTACCTGCCGCGCTGGCTCGGCAGTCTCCTTCCCTGGCAACGGGAAGACCTCGCGGGGAAGACCTCGCGATCCGACAGGAGAAACCATGGGAAAAGGGAAGTCAGGAAAAGGAGCCAACTTCCTTGACTGCTGTGTCAAGGCCTGGAGTGAACAGGCTACGTCAGGAGCTTACAAGCCAAAAACATTACTCAGTGGTAAGCCCCATGGCACCCAGGCATATGGACCCTGGGTCCCACGTCCCCATCAGCAGATAAATGAGACAGGCCGTCCCTAAAGCATACGCACCGGGAAAACATGGCAAAGTGCTCTGATTGTCACTGGCTGTGGGGGATGGCCATTCCTAGGACGCTGGAATATTTAAACTGGCATTAGCAGCTGCATTTAGTAGAGCTGCCAGACATCTGACTTACATGTGACTCCTATTATAACGGTATCAGTGCTGGTCTAAAATAAAAAGTGGGTAACCGAGGCAAGGGAGAGCAAAGGCAGCATGGACCACGGTGACCGTGATTCAAGCGCATCCTTCCAGAGGCACGAGACGCAGCACAGCGCACCCCAGCAGAAATCGCAAAGCCCTCAGGAAACTCAGCAGGAGGCCATGGGGAGAGATCTGCTCTCCCAGGGAAGCCACAGCAGCGGGGCCCAACCCCGGGAGGTATCGGGCGACACAGCGTGGCCCTCCTTTGTGTGAGGCCCCAGCTTGCCCACTTCTACCCCACAGGCTCCATCCCAGACTCAACTCTTCGCACATAAAGGGACCTTATTATGACTCCGATGCGGGTTCTAGTTTTGTGTGGCAGTTACAAACAAGGTAGTGGGGGGCGGAGTGACAGTCCAGTGGGGAAGGCGCCTTACCTTGCTCGCTCAACCCGGGCTTGATCCCGGGCATCCCATAGGGTCCCCCAAGCACCACCAGGAATAATTCCTGAGTGCAGAGGTAGGAGTGGCTACTGAGCATTCTAGGTGTGACCCAAAAACTAAAAAATATTTTAAAAAAAGGGGGGGGGAGCGAATCACAAAAGGCAGGATGCAACCTTTGCATGCTGGAGCTCTGGTCCCATACCCAGCACCCCACCCCCCGCCCGTCTCCACTGGGAGCACCGAGCTCGCCAGGCGTACCCCAGCACTGCCAGGGAGCCACTCCCCACATGAAACCCCAGTTCTCTATTCAAAACAAAAGATCATTACAAGGAATAGGTCAGATTCATCGAGATCTTTCCCTACCCCCAGCCCCTGGCCAAACACAAATCAGCAAACCTCTTACACAATTTATATATACATGCAGATCCCTTTCACATTCTTTTTTTTTTTTTAAACCGGGACCAAACAACCTCTTTTAAAACCATTGATGAAATACATCCAACCAAAAAGGAGGGCGCAGCTCTAAAAAGGGCCAGTGTCCCCTATCACAGTGCCGTTATACAACGTTATACAACTGTTCTACTTTATTCTTTCCTTCCCTTCTTGTGCAAACGCCGTGGCCCTCACGCGTGTTTACAGAGGCTTTTCAAGCAGCCCAGTTTCTCCAGCAAATATTTAAAACTCTTGTGGCTCCTTATCAAGCTTTAAACACGGATTTTTTTTTTAATATATACAACATGTTTGATCACAGGAAATGACGCCAGACAGCTGCCCCAAGGCTGGAGCAAGAGCCTGACCCCAGTCCATCGTCAAGTCATGGAATCTTCGAACACCAACATAAAGGGAACACAGCTTTATGAAACAGCAGTTTCTGGGCAGAGATGAAAGTGAAAAAGAATCTCCTGAGAGTGACGATACAGTGGGAGAGCTCTTCCCTCACAGCATCTGACCCCGGGTCCAGTCCCCGGCATTCTTTTATTTTATTTATTTTTTTGCTTTTTGGGTCACACCCGGTGATGCTCAGAGGTTACTCCTGGCTCATGCACTCAGGAATTGCTCCTGGCGGTGTTCAGGGGACCATATGGGATGCTGGGAATCGAACCTGTGTCGGCCATGTTGGCTGCGTGCAAGGCAAACGCCCTACAGGCTGTGCTATCGCTCCAGCCCCTCCCCGGCATTCACATTGTCCCCTGTGCACTGCCAGGAATAATTCCTGAGAGCAGAACCAGGAATTACCCCTGAGCGTGGCTGGGTGTAGCCTCCCACAAAGAAAGAATCGACGGCTAAGCCAAGACTCAATGGCAAAACATGAGCCTTGAGCGAATGTGTGAGGTTCGGGGTTGCTCTCTGGCACTCAAGAAAGGTACGGGTATTGGGGCAAACACGTTGGTAACTCAGCAAGAAAAGTGACCACCACACAAGGTGATGAACACATAAGCAATTTCGAAGGGTGGAGGGGCTGGAGTGATAGTACAACGGACAGGGCATTTGCCTTGCATGCAGCCAATCCGGTTTGATTCCCAGCATCCCATATGGTACCCTGAGCACCGCCTCAGGAGTAATTTCTGAGTGCATGAGCCGGGCGTGACCCAAAAAGAAAAGAGAAAATAATTTCAAAGGGTGGCAGAGAGAAAAGGATGGTGCCAGGTAACTTCGGCTGAAAGATCAATGTCTTCTTTGGAATTAAAAAGTGGCAACGGATTTGCTAAGATTTGGATACACTGAACTTGAGCTGCTGATGGTGTGAATGGCATGTACGTTTGACAAGTATCTACCAAGGACCACTCAGAGATTGGAGAGAAAAGCTCTTGGGAATGCACCAGCAGCAACAACAGTGGGGAGGTGGAGAAAACAAAACTGGTAGGGCCACAGAGCCAGCACAGCGATTAAGGCACCCGTCTTGCACACGGCCCACTCGTGTTCCATCCCCGGTATCCCAGGATCATCAGGGGTAATCCTGAGTGCAGAACCGAGAGTAAGCCCTGAGCCAGGTCAGATGTGGAAGCAAAAATTTTTAAAAAGCACACCTAAAAACGAACTGATAGGGGCTGGAGCGATAGCACAGCGGGTAGGGCGTTTGCCTTGCACGCAGCCAACAGGGTCGACACAGATTCGATTCCCAGCATCCCATATGGTCCCCCAAGCACCGCCAAGAGCAATTCCTGAGTGCATGAGCCAGGAGTAACCCCTGAGCATCACTGGGTATGATCCAAAAAGAAAAAAAAAAAAAAAGAACTGATAAATAATTAGGGGGTGGGGTCTAGGGGTACACCTGGTGGTGCTTCCTTACTCTAGGCTCTGCACTCAGGGATCACTCCTAGAGGGACCATATGGGGTACCAGGGAATGAAATCAGGCTGGCTGCATGCAAGTCAAGCGTCTGACCAAGTCACGCGTCCGACCAAGTCACGCGTCCGACCAAGTCACGCGTCCGACCAAGTCACGCGTCCGACCAAGTCACGCGTCCGACCAAGTCACGCGTCCGACTGACTGCACTCTCTCTCCAGCGCCTAAGGGACACAATTTTTTACTGCATGAAAACTTACGACCTCTGCCCCGACCCGAGACATGCTTCCTGTGCTAGTGCTTATGCTGAGCTGGGGCAGGGCCCCAAGTTCGATCCCCATTACTGCAGATCCTGCCCTCCCCTGGCTCAGCACCTCTACATGTGGCCCCATTCCTTTCAAAAAAGGTAAAGAAAGGTAACACCGACACCCACTAAAATGGAGCAGCGGTTTTGACATTAGCTGTCATTAGAAACCACCACCCTGAATAAACAGTTTTGGCAAGACAGGGTATCTCAGACAATATTGATCGGTGAGACTGAAAACTCCTGCAGCTTCTCTGCAGGACAAGTTACCAATATCTACCAAAACTGAACATGATTTTCATGTGCTGTACTCTGACAACTTTACTGTTAGAAGTTCACTTGGGGCCTGAGGTCTAGTACAAGGGCCTAGGTGTTTCACTTGCATGCAGCTGACCCATATCCTTCTTTTTTTTTTTTTTTGGTGGGTTTTTGTTTGTTTAGAGCCCACACCAGGCTGTGCTCAGGGCTTACTTCTGGCTTTGCACTCAGGGACCACCTCTGGAGAGACTTGGAGGAACAATATGGGGTATCAGAGATTGAACCCAGGTCGGTAACTTGCAAGGCAAGCGCCCGACCCACTGTACTATCTCTCTGGCTCAGCTGGTCCAGGTTTGATGCCTGGCAAATACATACAACACAACCAGGAGTAAGCGAGCACTGTGGGTGCACAGAGGGAGGGGCAGAGGGAAGGGGAAGGACAAAGAAAGGAAGGAATAATAGAAGGAATGAAGGAAGGAATTACTTATGACTATCTGCCCATAAATACGTGTCCAAGAAATTCACCGCAGGGGCTGGGGAGATAGCTCAAAGGACTAACACAGATGCTTGGCAGGCAGGAGGCCAGGGTTCAATCTCCAGCATCACTAGCCAACCCCCAAACACCACCGGGGGAACCCCACAGAGAAGAAAGGAGCAACCAAGTGCCACCAGATGGGGGAAAAAAAAAAGTCAATTCAGTAGTGCTGTGCTTGCTTCAGCGAGACGTTTACTAAAACTGAAACCAAACAGAGAGGAGCATGGCCCCGGCACAAAGATGACACGCAAATTCATGACATGTTCCACATTTTTTCAGCTCTGTAGCCTTGTATCTCAATTAAAACCAAAAAAAATTTGTTTTTAAATTCAGGAGTGACGTTTATAATAGCAAGTTCCAAACCACCAGGATGCCCAGTGTTACCAGTGCCATACAAAGTGCTTCCTCTCCTGGGGCTGGAGCAATAGCACAGTGGGTAGGGCATTTGCCTTGCACACGGCCAACCCGGGTTCGATTCCTAGCATCCCATATGGTCTCCTGAGCACCGGTAGGAGTCATTCCTGAGTGCAAAGCCAGGAGTAACCCCTGAGCATCACCAGGTGTGACCCAAAAAAAAACAAAGTGCTTCCTCTCCTTAAAACAGTACAACTCAGGGAAGGGGAGGTCTGGGCTCTCCACAGGAAGAGCAACTGTGAGCCCGAATAGCACCAAGTACTCAAACGCTTGGATTTAAAAATTTAAAAGCATGGAGCTGGAATGATAGCACAGCAGAGAGAGTGTTTGCCTTGCACGCAGCCGACCCAGGTTCGATCCCGGCATCCCAGATGACCTCCCCAGCACCGTCAGGAGTAACTTCTGAGTGCTGAGCCAGGAGTAACCCCTGAGCTTCGCTGTGTGACCCAAAAAAAGCAAAAATAAATAAAAATTTAAAAGTAGAAAAGTCAAAGCCATGTGACAAAGAATAAAAATATTTTCTCTACCAATTAATACAGGGAGCCCCTGTGACAGTTGATACTCTGGTGTGATGAATTTCCAGGGGATTTGGCTGAAATTTCCTTATCATGAGCTTTAACTTCACCATCCATTACCCCCAGGCCCAGCTCGAGGCTGTCACAGACGTGCCAAGCGCCGGGGGGAGTGGGCGCTAAGGCACTCAGCGCATCTCAGCATGAGTCATGCAACACAGAACGAGGACGACTATATTCAAACGCACCTAAGGGAGGCAGCGTGGACCTGTCCATACGCTCTGCCTTAGGAGCCAAGCCACTTGTTACATTTCCTGGTGCTGCAGAGGTCCAGGCTTGAAACCCGCAGGGGATCCGGATTAGCAGAGTCAAGATCCAGGCTAGAGAGAAACAAATAGCAAATTAAAATAAAAAAAAGAAAAGTAATGGCCGAGCCTAACAGGAGGCACTCCGGAGGGCTGGAGTCTACTTCCTACTCAGCCTAGTCCCCACAGGGGCCACACCCCACAGTGCTCTGGAGTCACTCCCAGGGGTGCTCAAGGGAACATGTAGTGTCGAGAATCAAACCCAGGCCTCCAAAAGCGTGTGCTCCAGTCCACTGGAATCTCTCCCTTCCATCCCCTCAGCTGTATAGCTTTACACTGGAAGAACATTGTCAGTGGCCCAAACCATCCTTGGGCAGAATCACAAATCAATTCCTTTAAAAAAAAAAAATCAAGTGTCGCGTGACAATAGTACAGCAGTTACGGCCCTCGCTTTACACACTGCAGACCTGATTCAAGCCCCAGCCTGGTCCCAAGCACCACTAGGAGTGGTCCCTGAAGCCACGGTCCCACGGTCCTGTGCAATGCTGGGTACGGCTCAACAAGCCCACGCCCAACTCCAAAGTCCACTCCATATTTGCACACCCTATTTCTCAGGAGATAAGAACACCAAGGAAAAGTAATTCTGCATTGGGCACTCCTTACCTGTGGATACATTAACTGCATATTCCCAATCACTGAAAATGGATGGAAAAGCAAAACAAGGGCCACAGAGTCCAATGGACGGAGAGCACGCTTTCCATGTGGGAGGCCTGGGCTCAATCCCTGGTACGCATGGTCCTCCGCCCACCCAGAATATGCCCAGTTGTGCGGCCCCCCACCTAAAATTTTTTTTTAAGAAAAATAACACAAAAAGGTAAACTTTGTAAAGACATCTTTAGTTCTATGTTTCAGACACTCTCCTACACAAGACACATGACTAACTGTGTGAGAAAACCCTAAGGGCCAGGGACGTGGCTCAGAAATTGAGCACAAGCATGGTGCGTCTGGGGCCCCGGTTCTATTCCAGGCACCACAATTAATTAAAAATCCAAACTAGAGACTGGAGCAATAGTACACTGGATGGGGTGTTTGCCTTGTAAGAAGCTGCACCAAGTTCAACGCAGGGTACCCAATCCCCACCAAGAGTGACTCCTGAGTGAAGAGCAAAGAAAAAGCCCTGAGCACTGGGGGTGTGCCCCCCCACACACACAGGCAAAACTTTTAAAATTTGGATTTTTTTGGTCAGAGAGAGAGAGCTCACAGGGCTGAGTGCATGCTTTGCAAGCAGAAGGTCTGAGTTCAGTCCCCAACACCTCTTGGCCCTCTAAATCCCACTGGGAGCAGTCCTGGAGCATTGCAGGGTTTAACCACGAAAATATCAAAATAAATATTAAATAAAGAAATCCTACAGAGGTGAGGTCCCAGAGCTTCAGAGACATTTGACAGCACAAGTCTACACATCTAAGGGCAAGAGAGATAAGCAGGTAGGGGGCTTGCCTTGCACACACAGAGCCAACCTAGGTTTAATCCCCTGGACCCCATACAGTGGCCCCCTGAGTTCCACTGGGAGTAGTTCCTGGACGCAGAGCCAGGAGTTAAGCCCTGAACACTGCTAGGGGTGGCCCCAATTTTTTTCCAAGTGTTAATTAAAAGTAAAGCAAATCTAAACATCCAAATCAAGATAAGGACTAAACAGTCCTTACATCTAATTAACACTCTGTACTGCCCTGATGCCGTAGCTCCATAAACTTCTCGGTGAGGAAAAGAAATTCAATGACCTATAGAAATAAAATGTCTATTAAATATAAAAAAGTGTAAAAAAAAAAACCCAAGGATCAAGGTGCTCATACCATGGACACAAGATTCTGGAATGAATTAAGCAAATAAAATTAATGGGTTGGGGGAAACAAAAAAAAAGATTCAATGACCTTTTAAATTCAGCCACCTATTGAAACACCTTGAGAAATATACATATTGGTCAGGCGATTTCCTGAAAGCAAGGTTAGATTCTATTCTATTTTCTGGGTGTGTGTTTTTTTTTGGGGGGGGGGGGTTGTTGGGGAAAGAGAGTCGGGCTTCCCACATACCAAGCCTATAAAGTAGCCCCTGGACCACCTCCCTGGCCACTTCTGAGTTTTTCTTGTTTAGGTTCTATTTCCTTTTTTGCTGCTGTTGCTTTGGGCCACACCTGGCTCTGCTCTCAGGGCTTACTCCTGGCGATGCTCAGGGGACCATATCAAACGCTGACAATCGAACCCATGCAAGGCAGGTGCCCTACCCACTGTATTACATCTGTGGTCCCTAGGTTCTATTTTTTTTTTCTTTTTTGGGTCACACCTGGCGATGCACAGGGGTTACTCCTGGCTCAGCACTCAGGAATTACTCCTGGAGAACCATATGGGATGTTGGGGATCGAACCCCGGTTGGCCGTGGAAGGCAAACACCCTACCCCACTGTCCTATAGCTCCAGCCCCTAGGTTTTATTTCTTAAAATGATTACTCATCGATACTTGGGCTTATTCACAAATTGCTCGTTTTACTGTTAATTAAACATTATTAAACGCACTTTACATACGCTTGAGCCCATGCAGAGGGTTTCACAATAAAAAGCACCCAAAGCCGAAAGGTATTTAATCACTGCACGACCGAGACTTAAACCTGAAAGCTTTGTAACTTTTCCCACAGTGATTCAATAAATAAATAAATATATATATATATATATATATAAAAAAAGTACCCAAAGCCTGACTCACGAATTGGCGGCCACCTCCACAAAAAAGGGAGCCAGGGGAGGTGAAGACAGATGAGGCAGATAACAAAGGGATCACTGGAAAATATTTGAGCTGTGACTCTTTCAATCCCACTGTTTGCTCTGGGGATTCTCGTCACACCACCACTCACCTCGGGCCAGGAGCGACCCGAACCAGTCCAGCCCTCTGTAAGCCTGGTCTGAGTTTTGGGGTGGGGGTGGGGGGGTTATTTTTGTGTTAATTTTGTTCGGGGGGGGGGGATGTGAACAGTAACAAGCCTGTAACCAGCCTGTATTTTCAGTTTCAGAAAATTAACAGTGGTCTCCTGCTGTGTGCGATAAACAAGATTACTCATTTTAAGTGATTAAATTGTGAAATGAAGTAACGGTGTTATTCCTCTTTCGGAAACATCCTGCACACGAGGCCCGGAATGAAAAGGCATTCTCCCAAAATAGGATCTCCATAACCACGAGGCTATTTTAATCTACATTTATTAAAAATTTACGCCGAGGGAGGCAGAAAGGCACTTAATCATCGATGAGGATTAGTCCAGAAGAATGGAAAAAATGAAAGGAGGAAGGAAAGCTCAAACCAAACAGCTTAGTTTCAATCAAGTAAGTACGTGCGCTCTTCGGAAATCACAAGTCGCCCGATCTGTATGGCACAATCCCGCTCTTACTGCTGTGTAGCTATTGGGTATTCTGAGTGAACAGGAGAGTGCTGGAAAGACCAAGCATCAACTCCCCTCAAGTGTGCAGGGGGTGTTCATAGGTTGTGCAAGTTTCCAGTTGTGCTTTGGATCATTCTCACAGTCGATATTTTTCCACGTGTATACGCTTCATAAAGTAAGTAAAAAAAGTAAAGGCCCTCCCGTTGTTCGTCGATTTGCTCGAGCGGGCCCAGTAACGTCTCCATTGGAGACTTTGTTGTTACTGTGTCTGGCATATCGAATACTCTCGGTAGCTTGACGGGCTCTCCGAGAGGGGCGGAGGAATCGAACTCGGGTTGGCCACGTCAGCCGCGTGCAAGGCAAACGCCCTAATGCTTCATAGATCCTTTAAATATCTAAAAAGTTAATTTTAAAATGTTTTTCACGATGGAGCACATGCTTTGCACGCAACAGCCCCAGCTTTAAACCCTGGCACCGCACGGACCCCTGAGTACCCAATTGGGTATGACCAAAAAAAAAAAAAAATTGAAATTGAAATAAAAGATTGTGGAGGTAAAGTTGCAAATTAGGAAGATGTCCTTTCAGAGGAGCCTGAGAAACAGAACACAGGCGCCTTGCGCCTGG